CTCAAGCCCCAAACGCTGGGGCCCGGGCCACCTCCTGCCTCCCACTCCGCCTTGCTTGGCGGCATGGGGTTCAGGGTTTGGGATATAGTGCTTTTTCGGTTTATCGGTTTCGGGTGTAGAAAACTAAGGATGTCGGACGGGGTTTAGGTTCGGCTGGGCATGCAAATCTAGCCAAATTGTCTTTTCCCGACGGGCGCTACTGTGCGCCCTCCACCCATGCATCATGCCGACTGGGTGCCATCCCCACCAAGCTGGCGTCCTAGTTTCCCGTTCCCCACTGATCCGGCTTCGAGCTCCTTGCTGCGGGCAGCGTCCATGCTCCAGCCCCCAATGTGAGCTCGAGGGTCTCTGCCTCTTTCTTTGCCTTTGCGTGACACAGCGCTCTCCGCTGTCACAACTCACCTCGGGTTTGAGTTTGAGCTTCCTTCGAGACAGTACTCGCGGCAGCTGACTCGCAATTGGCTTTTGCACAACAGGCGCGGTCGTCGTTCTAACGCCAGCAGGGATGCCTAAACTTGGGATCTTAAACCCGACACTCTAAACCCCGAAGTGCAAAGCACAGGTGGCACAGGTAGAATGACGAATCGACTCACTGGATGCGTACAGAATCCTCACAAATCTATGAGCCCCAACTTAAACACTCCAGAGCCCCCGCACTCGAACTAGATCCAACGTCGGAGAGGCCGCGTTCCTTCGATAGAGGGTTCTCGTTTACGGTGAACGCATCCCCAGCCCTTTTGACGAAAAGCAGGTGCTGGTAGGGTTAGCAAGTTGGGCTATGGGGATACATTTCATACCCTAAGCCGTAAGCCCTCAACCCCAAACCCCCAAATTAGCGTTTCTAGAGGATACCCAGTCAGGCAATCGTGATTCCGCTAGGGCTCATGCTTCGGCACCCCTCTTCGCCGGCTCCGGATCCGGATCGCCCCGAATGCCTGCCGCGGTGCTCGGGGGTTTCGGGGTTTAGGGTTTAGGGCTAGGGTTTAGGGTTTAGGGTTAGGGTTTAGGGTTTAGGGTTTAGGGTTTAGGGTTTAGGGTTTAGGGTTTAGGGTTTAGGGTTTGGGGTTTGGGGTTTGGGGTTTGGGGTTTGGGGTTTGGGGTTTGGGGTTTGGGGTTTGGGGTTTGGGGTTTGCGGTTTGGGGTTTGCGGTTTGGGGTTTAGGGCTTTCAGGGCCTACAGGGGCCTGGGATCAAATCACCTGAGATCATAAGCCTTCAAGGGCCTGGGGCTTCAGAATTCTCAGGGAAGAAGTGTTCAAGGTGTGCTTGAGAGTTGCCTCGTTTCCGGGGGAGTTGCCTCGTTTCCGGGGGATGAAGGGTGGGGAGTATGCGGGGGGGGGGGGGGGGGGGGGGTGGTGGGGGGTAGTGACGGCCGATATAACTACAACCACGCCTCACATCTTCAAGGCGCCGGGCTTTTCTGATCCAAAGGGTTCAGGGTTTAGGGTTTGGGGTTTAGGGTTTAGGATTTAGGGTTTAGGGTTTAGGGTTTAGGGTTTAGGGTTTAGGGGTTAGGGGTTAGGGGTTAGGGGTTAGGGGTTAGGGGAGGGTCCTGAGCTTCCAAGGGATCTTTGCCTCAAGATGGCAAAGGCTCGGCCCCCACACAGGGCCCTACCGTCATCTACGACATGTGTCGCGCATGGCCTCCTGTCACGCAGAAGCATTCTGGCCAATCCCCAGCTCACGGCCAAAGCGTTGAAGGTCTTACTGACCGAGCTTTCGGGTTTATCGGGCTGAAGCTCTAGGGTGTCAGGGGTTAGGGCTTGGGGATTGGGGCTTAGGGAGTTAGGATGTTTGCGTTGAATTTATGTAAGCACTTTGTCGCTTCGAGATTTTCCGGATCAGTCAGTCCGGGGCGCTTGTCCAGGCGGAACAGCCAGGGTAGCGTGTGTCTCTCCAGAAAAGAACACGCACAGGGCTCAGGAACATCTGCCTCGACCCTAAACCCTAAACCCGAAACCCTAAACCCTACACCCTAATTAAACCCCAACAGTAAGCAGGGAATGGGGGAATGAGGCACCCTATATAATCCTTTAAAGGGTTGCATATACGGCCCTACTTCCCTCATTTCCGGCTAACCAGCAGTAAGCCACCCCGCCCACCAGCCTAGCGTGGGGATGCCTCTGGCACTCACGGAGACTTCCAGCTCACCGCTGAGCCGTCGCTCAATCCAGTCCTCGCCGCCGGGGTACACGGGGGTTTGGGGTTTAGCATAGGGGCTTGGGGCTTGGGGCTTAGGGCTTAGGGCTTAGGGCTTAGGGTTTAGGGTTTAGGGTTTAGGGTTTAGGGTTTAGGGTACTTCCATACCCCTCAGTGGAAAAAACGGGGTTCAGAGTGATTGCTCTTCGTTAGGGAAGGCAGCTTACCCTCACTATGAACATTATTCATAAGGAGCTCAGGAGCCAAAGGGGTGAAAGGGAAGGGTTGAGGTGCAAGGCCTTAGAAGCCCAATTACCTGCTCAGTTCCTTCTCTGAGGCGTTCCGATGGAGAAACTTCTCAGAGCAACATCTTGAGGGGGTGCAGGGTCAGATGAAAAATGAAAGGCCCTGAACCCAGTGCGAGCATCAATGTTTAGGGTCCAGGATTGGGTCAGGGTTTTTCTGGCCCATTCATGAGCCTGGTCATGCTGGCGGGGTCCCGAGTCCTCAAAAACAAGGTCGTAGAACCAATAAGCAAGCAGAGTATCAACCGTTTCGCACAGCCTTATCTTCGTAATAATTCATGCTTGACACGCGTGCTCAACGCTATGCCCTTGAATAAACCGGGAAGAAGACATCGGGTCCAGATAGGCTTAAAGGCTAGGCAAATAGGGATTTAGGGCTTAGAGCACGTGCCCGAGTCAAATGGACCGCGATTTTCCAAGTCAGCGGGCCACAATAGTTTCGCCAGCCATGACTCACAAACTTTCAATAGTAATCATGCGAAGATACAAACCCTAAAGCCTAAACCCTACGCAGCACGAGGAGACAGAGAAGCTAAGAAGGCCGTTTGGCCAGTTCTCTCAGTTCGGGTCCCCTATGTGGGCATTATCATGTAGAGCCTTCTACTCATGTAGGGACCATTTTCGTTTTTCACGTATGAAATGACTACTACATTGTAAGAAATCCTACGTACTTGAGGGGTCTCTTGGGGGCTTTGGCTTTTATGGGGCCATCTGCCCAAGTCCTACAAACCGCAACTCTCCTCCCCAAGCCCTCAACCAACCTAGGTCCACCCTATACGCCCCAAGCCCAGATCTTTTCGAGAACTGGCCGTGGAATCACGAAAACGAAGGCCCCCAAAACCTTCAAACCCTGAAGCACGAGAACCTAAACCCTTAAGCCCTAGAACAATAAACCTTAAAACCACAAAACCTAAAGTGCCAAACCCCAAAAAGCCCTGAGCCTAAAACCTGAATCCCAAACCCCAAACCCTGAACCTACACCCGAAAGCTCAACAACCCAAATCCTACTCTAAACCAAAAAAAGCCGTAAACCCCAACGCCTAACCCCAAGCCCGAAAAGCCACCCCAAGAGCCCTTAAACCCCAACAGCACTAAACCCCAAATCCTAAACCCTACACAATAAACCCAAAATCCAAACCTCAACCCCTAACCCTAAACCCTAAACGCTAAACCCTGAACCACAAACCCTAGAACCAAAACTGGCCTTGAGCTGAACCTCTCTTGGAAGAAAGGTCCGGCCTTGCAACGTGCTACGGTTTCGGCTTAGGGTCTAGGTGTTTAGGGTTTTGGGCTTACGGTTTGGGGTGTTGGGGGTTTAGGGGTTTGGGAGGTGTTGAGGGCTTTGGGCTTAGGATTTTGGGTTTCGGGCAGGGGGGCATGCGGTGCCGGGTTTAGAGCTTTTGGAGCTTAGCATTTCGGGGCGCTTTGGGGCTTAGGGTTCTAGAGCTTTAGGGTTTTGGGGTTTGGAGTTTAGGGATTTGGGCGTCCCTCAACACCCTCAACCCTACTCTCGTTCGCGTACATGTCACCACTGGACATCTCTGCAACTCCCAACATAAAAGACAGGCAGCAATGCAAGCCCGAACTGTACCGCATCTGATCTATGCCGACTGCTCTGCAAGAAGGCAACACATCTAGAACATAAACACTAGACTTTGAACCAAACCTTCGTCGTAATGGGCACCCCATCGCACAATCCTCCTCTGTCGAGTTGTCCGAACACATGCTGAAGTCAAACCACTCTTGTGCTAGAGGCTGCCTTGGCTCCACACCCCTGCCTTACAAGCTTGGGGAGCCCTGAAGGGAGAAGGGTTTCTAAGCATAAGGTGGCCATTTTCATGCAGATGGCACTAGTGGATTTCATTTTCGAGCCACAAACATTGAGCCTCAAACACCAGGGGACCCGACTTTGCTTGATCGTGGGATCATTGGAAATCCTTGCCATCGGCGGTCGATCCTTGCAGGGAAAGCGCCTCGACTCTAAGTCACAAGAAACCCCCAACCCTGAGCCCTAAATCCTCCAGGAACTCTCAACCCTCAGCCCTGTATCCTAAACCCTATAGACCTTAGACCCTAAACCCTGAAACTGAACTACAACCCCGAGGCCTTCAACCCCGAGCCCCAGGTCGGCACAGAAACCTCAAGAAACCCCTAAGCCCTCACAAAAGCCTACGCCTGCCGAAGGCATACCCTCAACTAGAAACCCTGAACCCTCAACCTGAAACCCTGATACCCTGAACCCTGAACCCTGAACCCTAAACCCTAAACCCTAAACCCTAAACCCTGAACCCTAAACGCTGGAAGTTGAGGGTGCAAGGCTCGGCCTTGGGGAATTGGGCCCGGAGGTTTGGGTTCCACTGTAGGGTTCTACTGGGATCTTTCTAGGTTTTACTGGGAAGTCTAGTGAACCCTAAACCCTAAACCCTAAACCCCAAACCCCAAACCCCAAACCCCAAACCCCAACCCCAAACCCCAAACCCCAAACCCCAAACCCCAAACCCTAAACCCTAAACCCTAAACCCTAAACCCTAAACCCTAAACCCAAGCACTTAGTAGCTTAAGAGCACTCCTCGGCCGTCCAGTGCTCCAGGAAGTTGAGGATGGCATCGCGGAGGACTTCCTGGAAGTGCTTTTTGAGGCTGAGGGGTCTAAAGGCTTCATAGATTAGGGTTTAGGGTTTAGGGTTTAGGGTTTTAGGGTTTTAGGGTTTTGGGGTTTTGGGGTTTTAGGGTTTTAGGGTTTTAGGGTTTTAGGGTTTTAGGGTTTTGGGGTTTTAGGGTTGTAGGGCTTTAGGGTTTTAGGGCTTTAGGGCTTTAGGGTTTTAGGGTTCTACGTAGGGTTTAGGGTTTTAGGGCTTTAGGATTTTAGGGCTTTAGGGTTTTCGGGTTTTCGGGCTTTAGGGCTTTAGGGCTTTAGGGTTTTAGGGTTTAGGGTTTAGGCTTAGGGTTTGAAGGCGGTATCGGGGGGGAGGGGACGTGTTCTTCTTGAGTTTCTAGAGAGATCGTCGACGTGGTGGTTCTCAGGATACTCTAGGCCCTGGATCCTGAAGGGCTTTAACCCTCAACCCAAAACCCACTTTCTTCAGAGCCGAGGCTTGTAGCGATAACTAAGGTTTGCATCTCCCACATAAGGCTTCAACCTCTCCCCCTCAGACATAAGGTTGAAGTCCACTAAGGTTTGGGGCTTCAAGTTGAGGGCGAGGGTTAAGAGTTGAGGGTTTAAGGCTCCGGGCTTAGGCTTAAGGGTTTGGGGTATAGGGTTGCTCCCCGCATGCCCGCAAGCAAGGCGCTTGCAAGCCTCCGCTGTTCCACCCGAAACTTTGAACACCGAGAGCCCAAACCCTTAGCGGCAAAGCAGGTCGAATGTTTGCCATGGTATACTGTACTTAGCTCAGACTTTCCTCAGCTGGGGGGCTCTCAGTGGCTCTTTCTCTCTCTCTCTCTCTCTCTCTCTCTCTCTCTCTCTCTCTGTTTCTCTTTGTCTCTTTGTCTCTTTGTCTCGCTCTCTCTCTCTCTCTCTCTCGCGGCTTCTTTTTATTTTTATTTTTATTCTTCTTCTTCCTCCTCCTCTTCCATGACTGTAAAGTGAAAACACAAGACGCAAAGACGGTCTCTTGGCCTCGGCATCCGTGAGCTTCTCCGCGGGCAGGCTGAGGAAGAAGTTCTCTTGGTCCGTAGGAGACGCGTGGCCTTGTGCACGATCTCCGTTGTGAGCTTTGGCTTTGCCCTTGCCTTTGCCCTCGCCTGAGCTGCTTGGTGAGTTTTTGGGGGTCTAGGCCTAGGCCTACGTTCATGTTGAACCAGGGGAGCCCCAACACTTGAACTCAACAGTCCTTGGAAAGCCTTGTACTTCCAACTTGCGTTCTAGCTTTAAATCCCGCAAAACGAGGGAGGCGCGCCAAAGAACTCAGAGAGGACTTCAAGGTCAACCCCAGTCCCCCTAGACCCCAAAACCCATTATTGAACCCCCCTGAATCCCAGCCCTGATGCCCCGAACCCTGATCTGAGAGATAGGGTTGGGTGGTGGTGGGGCGGGGCGGGGCAGGGCGGGGGAGGAGGAGATGAATGTTCCCAGGAAAAGAGAAGGGTGCAGAGTTCACGGTTACCCACAATGCCCAACGCACCACAGTTGAAGAAGAAGGATCCCCACGTAGCTGAATGTTGACACGATGCCTTTTTTGCAGTGGTAATGGGGCCCCCGAAACACCAAATTGAGGAGGTGTTGGGCTCGCGATCTCATGTTCATGATTTCCCGACATCCGGGGGTTTAGGGCTTAAGGGTTTCGGCCCTAAACCCCCTAAACCAAAAACCCTACACCCTTAAACCCCAAACAGCGGACCCTAGACTTCCTAAACCCCACAAGCACGTCCGGAAGCTTGCCAGGAGCCGAAGATCCCTCATTACAATCTCTCTTGGGCTTGCACTTAAGGGGTTTGTGCTTGAGGCTCATACTCCTTGATGAGGGGAAAATCTTAGTCCATAATACTGAGCCATAAGCCTGGAAAAAAATCGAACTACTCCCCAATCACAGGTAACTGTGCTCCCTTGGGTTCGTAATCCAATATACCAGACGGTCTTAAACCGGAAAAGCCCTAAACTCTACGAAGTTCCATGGCCACAAAGGCTGCATTCCGGGACCCCAGCGCGCAGGTGGCGCAGCTGGGGGTTCCTCCTTCTGGTAGAGACTTCTATTCAAAGAAGGGTTTGGGGCTTTAGGGCCAGGCCGATTTATGCAGATAAGAAGCCCCGGAAATAGTTCAGGCAACTGTTCGTGAAATTAGTTGGGGGATGGGGAGCATGTTTCGTGGAGGCCGGGAGCAGGTGGGGAGTTGCTTCGGGGTCTGTTTCAAAAGGGGTGTTTTGACGAAAGGTGCCCAAGGAGCCCACTATCTTAAGACTTAAACCTATATGAGGGTTTCCGAAAGTGGGGGTCCATATTGGGGGTCCTGTATTTTCGTAAACCCCTATATGGAGCCCCTCTGAAGGGCAGGGCGTTCTCTCCTCAGACAAAAAGAAGTGTCCTCTTACTATAGGACAAGTAAACTTCCCCCACTGTGGCAGCAACACAGCAGCCGGCTCATAGTGGTGCAATAAAGAGCAGCGGCAGCACAGCAAACTGCGCACAAAGTCGCAGCGCATTACGAAGACCTACTGAACCGTTAACCTGGGCCCTTTCACCGTTCGCCCTTTAACCCTTAAGCCCTGAACCCCAAAACCCTGAAGTCTCTAATGTCCCAGCGCTTCCTCAGTGGCCGCCGTCCGGGAGCGCACGCGGTCGTCTTCTGTGACCTCCACCTGCGGGGGTTCTTCAGAACGCAAAGCCCTTTAATAACTACTTAGCTATCCCTATGGTCGCTAAGGCAGCAGTTCTCTGAATTGCGGACCCTTTCGGGGGATCCGTTTCGATGATCAGGAGCCTCGTGCTCCTCTTTCCCAAAAATGGAGGGCATGTTCGTGCTCCCAAAAATGGAGGGCATGTTTAAAGAGCTGCAAACCTGTTTAGAGTTGTTGAGGTCTACTCCTCAACTAATGCTGTGCTCCTCGGGGTGTTTTTGGGTCAAGCAGGTTGGGCTTTGAGCTTGGAACCTTACATAGAAGCAGGTCACAACCCCTCTATAGGGTACTCCCTGGCCTCCCTCCCCCCAAGAAAACAAGGAATAAGTAGCCTGAACTTCCTCAAAGTATCCCTATAATCCCCAATCCCGAAAACTCTAAAACCCTATCTCTTAAACAAAGGTTAAAACAGGTCGAGCTGAGCACAGGTCCGAACCGCCAGGGTTCAGGGTTTAGCGTGCAGGGTTCCCCAACAACCAACAAAGTGGCATTTTTTGGATATTGGTGTCTACAAGGCAACCTGACCCCGGCAACATGGGAATACATCCTGGAAACCCTCAAGAACCAAAATTCTGGTTTGGGGTTTACTTTCAGGGCACTGTAGGACTGGGGTTTGGCTTTTTTTCAGGGGCTGAGGACAAACCCCAGGTGGCCCTGACCCCAAGATTTGCTACTAAACCCTAGACTAAACCCTAAACTCTACACCCTACACCCGACACCCTAAACCCTAAAAAGCCCTAGACACTGGGGGGGCGCTCCTCCCCTCCAATGCGGCGGTCGATCCAATCGCGCAGAGGTACCTTCCGAGCTTCAGGTTCAATCAGGGGACGAGACTCGAAGTAGCTGCTTAGGGAGCTCAGCTACCTCGGGGTCTTGCTTGCCCCGAACCCTAAACGGACTCGATGAAGGGGCTGGACTCTCCGGGCCCTGAGGCCGCCTCGTCAGGAAGGAATTTCCGCTTGGCGGTCAGCACGCTCGGGTGTTGACCTCACCAGGCTTCCATGACACCAGGGAGGCTTTCAGGGCTTAGAGTTCGATTGCAGTTTTTGTTGAAGGACAGTCGAGCGCGCAGGATGCATTTACACAGGTTTACACAGTAAACCCTAAACCCTAAACCCGACCGTAAACCCTAAAACCCCAAACCCCAAACCCTAAACTCCTAAACCCTAAACCCGAGCCGCAGATGGACAAGGAGACTGCCGACCTGCTGGGGGCTAGAGTTTGGGGTTACAGGGCTTGAGGACAGGCTTCAGGGTTCTCGGGGCTTGGCGCGTTTGGTGCCCTGTACCCCTGGAGCCCAGTACCGCTGAATTGGGAAAGACCTTCAACTATCTAAGGCTCCTCGGTGCGACGTGAGATCTAACCCTGATCTCAGCAGTATTGGGGTTTCTGGGTCTTCATATGTCCCCAGGTGCCCTCTACCCTGCGTCAAATAGAGAGGCTCATGGGGTTCAGAACTTTCGGAAAGTAGGAAGTCGGTTCTTTGGGGGGCCTAGAATGGATTTAATGGCCCCCATTCATTCTTGAACAGCATGGGGTTCTTATGCTGGACCTTCAACCCTCAACCCGCAATCCTACGGCCTAAAGCCTATGTATCCGCCCTCTTGGAGGGGAACTAAGGTCAGGGCTAACATGGTGCAGGGACATCGCTTGCGATGAGACCAGCTCCAGCACCTGAAGCGGGTCGGTCCCGGGACGAGAGAGGGCTCGGAGTTTAGATATTAGGGTTTTTGGGATCACTTGTAGAAGCAGCCTGCATCCTGTTAAGCAGCACCTCACCCGAAACTCCCTGAACCTCGAAAGCCTAAACCCTAAACCTGGACCCAAGACCCCTCAACTAAGCCCGACAATCCCAAGACCTGAAACCCTCTAACCCTAAGCCCGGCCTGTTAGCCTGATATGGGGAGTTCTCTAGATTCTGGTACCACAAAAAAATGAAGCTCTGTAACTTGGAAGGAACGCCTGACATGAAAGTCAACCCGGTGCGGTTGGGATGTAGGGATGTTTAGGGAGTAGTGCTACTGTGGGGGTTTGGGGTTGCTTCTCTTGCAGGGGTCCTCATTATGAAATAGTGTTGGCCGTTAAGCCCTCTAAAAAAGATGTCAATCGTAGTAAGCTATATGGGCCAAAACCCCAAACGCCAGAACAAGACCCGGGCCGGAGGTTGGTTCTGGGGCTCGCATCTGGAACGAACAACCCATGAAAAGGAAAAAGGGCCCGAAATCCTTCCGTTTTCAAACAGGGCTCGGTGAAACCCGAAGAGCCTTTAAACCCCAACAATATAGTTAAACCCCGAAGAAAAAAGCCGAAACCCCAGGAACCTGTTACTGTAAGGCTCTAGAAACTCCCAACCCGGAGCTGTCAAGGGTTGGCACGGACTCCCGGAGCTCGAGCTCCTGCTGCGCGAGCTTTTTGGGTTCATCCCCCCCCCCACCAAAAAAAAAAACAAGGCATTCAGGGGGTGGTGGTTAGGGTTTAGAGGGTTTTTTGGGGGGGTTTCTTATGGGGTTTTTTGGGGTCTTTGAGGTTTTTTTCGGGCTTGGAGTTTAGGGTACTTTCGAGTTTGGGGTTGAGGGTTTAGGTACGCCAAGAGATCGGGGGAGATACTTCTTTGGGGGGGTGGGTGGGGGGCGGGGGTGGGGGGGGGTCGCGGGGGGAGGGGAATGCGTCTTGGGTTTTAGGCTTTAGGAATTCGGGACTTCGTGATGTTTCGGGCTGGAGCCTTAAAGCTCAAGAAGGCCTCTTTGGCCCCAAAGACTTAACCTGCGCCCCAGACCGTAAGGCCCTAAACCCCTCAGCCCTTTCTTGGAGGTTCCTGCGTAGTTCTAAGTAGGGCCATAACTGCGGTACCGATACTTATAACCCCAATTCGGCTACTTCTCACCCCACTTCCCCACTTATAGCTACTCACGAACCTCCAAGTACTTAGAGCCCTACGCAACTTTCTAGAAAGGCCGCGGCCAGGAAGAGCAGTACATGGCAGAACTGGCGTCCCTCTTTTGCGGGCGCGAAGTTAGAGTTTAGGGCTCGGGGCTCGGGGATTGTAATGGAATCTCATCTATAGAGAGGTACCGAGAAATCATTCCTGGGAGCCGTGTTGGACTCTCTAAGCTCTGCAGCCCTACAACCGAAACAGCCACTTGTCGGAATCTAGGTTCGGAAGTTCGGATCGTGGTTAGTAGCACCCCTGATTGGGACTTAGGATTCAAGGTTCCGGCTTGGGGCTCAGGGTCGGGAACAGTTGTCTAAAATCTTAAACTCCGGGCCTCGTCCGTCAATGCGTCTTGGGGCAGCGCGTCCAAGATCTCGCCCACGTCCTCCTCCAGGCACGCATGGCGGGGAAAAAGCTTTAGGAGTTGGAGGGTTGACATTTTTTAAACCCACCACCTTGCTTTCTTGGCCGTTTGCCCAAGAACCATATCAGGGGCTTCGTAACCCCAAACCAGAAAACCATACACTGCTTTCTTAACCATAACCTACACATAGTGGGCTCGGGGTCGTATAAGATAAGGGCTCGGGAACCCTGCCCAGCCTCGACTCAATGTTTGAAACGACCCAAAGGGAGGACTGCAACGGGGCCCCTTAACGGACCGAGGGGTTTCTAGGGGCTGCTTTGGGGCTACCTAGGTGTACTTGTATATGCGTGAGTAAACCATAAATTATGCAAGTAGGCAAGTACACCAAGAAGTAACATGCACAAATAGATTTCTAAGCTTGAACAAATATGAACAAACATTTCTATAGATAAATAATATTATATATATATATATGCATATGTATATATATGTATATATATATACATATATGTAACATGGAGGGTACCTTAAGACCCGACTCCTGAATCTCAAACCCTCAACCTCTTAAGCCCCAAGCATGCCACAACTATAGAACCCTGCGATCGCAAGCAACAATCATATCTGACAAATATTTCCTTAAGCTTACAGCCTTGTGACTGAATAAGTAGGGTAAGTTAGGTTTCATGGATTATTATGGGGTTTCTATGGGGACTCTCAGGAGACTTTCTTAGTCAAAAGAGCCTCCGAGTTCACACGGTCGCACAGAACTTTGCCCAGAGCGCAGGGTCACACATCCAATATAGGGGCCTTAAATAATTCGAATAGGGCTTTGGGGGGGGGGGGGTTAACATGGTAGAATTTAAATAGGGGCCATTAAGGGAATACTAGTCGCAATTATTCCGAGCCACTATGTTAAGCACACACCGCCTGAGACTACTTCAAGATCACGGTCCCCCTTTTGCCCTGAAGGTAAGGGGCCTCTGAGCCCTCCGAGCTGGAACCCTGAGGGGCGCTCCTGCTCAGGCTCCGGCTCTGCCTCCGCCTCCGCACCTTCGGCTACCAAGGGTTTAGGGCTTAGGGTTGAGGGTTTAGGGTTGAGGTAAGGGCTTTAGGGGTTTTAGGTTTTAGGGTCTTGGGGTCTCGGGGTCTTAGGGTTTTTGGATTTCAGTGCTTTGGGGTCTTAGGGTTGCAGGGGATGGTTTAGGGACTGTCGAGTTTGGGGCTTGGTGCGCAAAGCAGCACAAGCTGGGCTAACTACTATGTCTCGAAGCCGTTGGGCCTAAGGGTAGTTTGGCCCTTCATTCATGTCGTCCCTTGACTTCTTTAAGGAGCTCTGAAGTATAGCCTCTTGGGTTCATTAGGGTATATGAGGGGTATCTAAGGGGTCCCCATTTAAGGGCTCTTATGAAGGGATCATGTAACTACCGTTAGATTTGGACAACCGAAGCTGTCCGAGACGTTGGGTTCAGGTGCTTCCGGGTGCAGAGGTTTAACAAAAAGCTCGAAATCATTACAAATATCATTCCCTTAAGGTCCCTTTGTACTGAAAAATAACCCCCAAAACTGCCCAAAACCCTGCTCTAACTAAGGCTCCTACAATAAACCAGGAGGGCCGAGGTTTCGGTGTTTCAGAGGTTTGGGCTTCGGGGTTCCTGAACCCGTGCGCCGCTATAAGAGAGACTCAGATGCTGAGACGCAGACTCCTGCGCACCATTTCCTGCTGGCCCTTCCTTAGATATGCCCGCCCGCTAAGCCGGAACCAGGGGCCTGTAAGGGAGGGGGGTGTACGGGCCCCATATTCCCCAAGTAAGGCCTGAGTAATCCCATAAGCCTTAATAAGCCCTCCCATCCCTTCCACGCACTTGGTTCCTTATGAGTTAAGGCTATCCCACTGAGGTGCACAGGTGCGGCCACGCAGCTGATTGGCTCGCACCTCAATCTCTCCGCCTATCCTGGCCTCCAACCACTCCTGGCAGTGCCAGGATTTCAGGGTATGAGGTTGGGATGTTCCCCTATTTCACAGCCCTTAATAGGGATTATAGTACCCCCAATTATATCCGTATTTAGTGTAGGGGGGGTGAACATCCCAAGTATGAGGTTTTCATTCAGATTAGAATGAAGGTGCAGGCTGAAACCCTTAACCCTAGACCCTTAAATACCTGGCAAAACCCATCTAAAGAAAAAAACAGCCTTCGGGCTCAGAGCTCCTTCCACCATCATCAGAATTACCTAGAACGAGGATTCAATGCTTGAGCGAAAGGAACAAAACTCAATATTATTCCAACCCGAACCCTAAAGCCTAAGCCTAGCACAGACCCAAGCCACAAGATGCAAAGCCCAACAGGCCCCCAAAGCTTCGTCCCAAAAACCTACTCCTTAAAACCCTGAAGCCCGGAAACCTGAAAGCCCTAAAGCCCTAAACGTCCTGAAGCGGAACATTGTAGGGCAGGAGTGCTGCACGCAGCCGGGAGATGGAAGGGTCGCGCAGCACCTGGCGGCGATCGCTTTCAAGATCAACGTGGGACTAAACCCTAAACCCCCAGACAGGGAACATGGAGGTCCCTAGGCACGGCCGGACAATGCACAGGCGAAGAGAGGAAAATGGATGTCCATGCGTCGAGGGTCTTGCTAGTCAGCTAAACCTGAGTCACAAGGCCAACCAGCCAAACCATACATGGCGTCTCCACTTTGGCACAGTAGCCCGAGACCCCTGCCTCCCTCCATTTACAAAAGTGGGGCATCTTTCAGGGCGTTGCGCTTCGGGTTTGGGGTTTAAGGCTCAACTTCTCAGCCTCAACCCCTAAACCTGGAACCCTCTGAATGGCCTCGTTCAGCAAGGGGGCGCTGGCGCCACCTTTGCCTTTGCCAGGCCTGACGTGCAAGGAAGGAGCCCAAAAGTCGGGTTGGAGACTTTGTAGGAAAGGGGTTTTGGTCTTAAGCACTCCATCAGTCCTGAGGCCCCGGAGCGATGCAGAGTCCCTAAACTTTGCTGCGCCAGATGGAGACACTGTCCCGAACTTCGTTCCTCCACAACCCAAAACTTGGGGACGGCGCAGTCTCTAATATTTGCCCCTCCAAGCCCAACTTGTAGGGACAGCACAGCGCGTTTGAAGCCCAGGCTCTTCCACGCCCGATTCAGCTCCGAAAAGAAAAGGTCGGTTCCGAAATGAAAGGGAATCCGACCACTTGCCCGGATGCCAAGCTCAGTTAGGAATCTGGTCGTTTTGTTGTGTGGCAAGTTTTTTGACTGGATTTTCAACCTCACTGTGCCGCTACACAAAAAGATCTTTTGTAGCTGCCCATGAACCTTGGGTTTAGGGTTTAGGGTGTTTGAAAGTGATCTGATTTTTGGACTCAAGCTTCCGGAGCGCGTGGATGTAGGACATAGGGGTCCAGGGCCTCTCTACGGCTTTTCGGATTTAGGATTTAGGATTTAGGATTTTGCCGGAAGGTCAGCAGAAGGAGTCTCTGGAAGAAACCGAAAATGTATGTTCCCATTGTTCGGCGAGTCGATGCGCGGGTAGGTTACATATCCGATGCCTGACGAGCCTGACTAGCGAAAGCTAGAACATGAGATGCTGAACCCTAAGCCTCCAGCCTAACCTTGCCCACTATTCAGGTTCTGAGGGGTTCCAGCTTGGGATTAGGGCTGCTAGGCTTTTAGGGTCGATTCGGCTGCGTTGCATGTTGCATCTCTCCAAAGCACATGCTCGCGAACATCGCAGGATGACGGAAGTTGCAAGTAGGAATCTTGAGCAGTATGGTTCAGCTCGTGCTTTCGTAACGACATCTTCCACCAAAAGTTCTCAGATGCATCTGGAGGTCGATCCCTAATTGTCCGTTCCGTTGGGGCATGCTAGAGAGCAGACAACTGAAGCATTGCATAGTGAATCAAAGTCGGCACGTTCCTTGTCTTGTGTGGCAGCGCAATAGTTCCACCCTAAACCGAGTTCCTTTTCAAATCCAAAGCAGCACAGGGCACGCGCAAGCTCCTCCTGCACGTGTCCTGCTGTCTTTGAGACATCTCCGGCGTGTCACACAAAGGCACTGAATGCCTGTGGACACATGCAACGACCTGTCGCTGAACGACAAGAAAGGCCGTTTACTAATTTGACATGGTCGCGCACAAAAGTCTGTGCATCTGCAAAAATCTGCAAAAGATCAGGTGGCTTTGGCATGCTGCCTCATGCCAAACCCGAAGACAGAAATACAAGCAAAAAGCAAAAGGTATGTGCCCAGCAGAAATGCTGCAAAGGTATGGGAAGTGAGGAGGACTCCCACTTGCGCCCCGACACCTCGACCAAAAGTCAGCGCTAGCATGTTCAGTGTGCCAGCCCGATCCTTGAATTGCGGTGGTACGATCTTCGGTGCCAGTGCATAGGCGTAGTTCTTGACCACCGAACTTGAGGACAGCAGGAACAACAAACCAGCCAACGTGAGCCCCATAGCGGCGACGGACCAGACCGGCGTAAACTGGAAGGTAAGCACCGAACATCCTGCGGCAGAGATGGTGCTCAGCTGCAAGCCACGCCTGTCTTCCACAAGTTTTGCCAGCCTGCTGCTCACCAGTGAAAGGAAGCACACGATGGCCATCAGGGCGGCTAAGACCAAGGCTGTGTCGGGTACGCTCCAGCCCCAGGTGTGCTGTGCCAGCTTCACGAAGTACACGATGGCCACGGAGTTCGTCATGGTGCTAACAAAGCCGGCAGACAAGCACAGGAAGAAGCCGGTAGTCCACATGGACTCTTGGCTTTCCTCCGCGGAAGGACTTACATCCGGAAGCAGCTCCTTCTCTGGGTTTTCGAAGAAGAACACCACCTTCAGCAAGAAGAGGTAGTATGTGAGCGCCATGAACCAGCCCGGTATCGTGTCTGCATCCAAGACCAAGTTCTCTATCCGAAGCTCAGTGACAAAGGTTTCCAGCAGGGCCGACAGCAGAGGTGCTGCTGTCAATGCAAAGGTGGCGACGGCGGAGAACACAAACATGACCTTCGTTCTCTTCTTGACACCAACAGCTTTGGCAATGTAGATGGGTCCGCCCAGCTGGCACTGGCAAATGCCGATGAGGGTGCGAGCGAAGAGGATAGCATACCTGGAGCGCATGAGCCCGGCAAGGGCGTAGACGATGTTTCCTGCAACACTGCCAGAGGCCATCAGAATCAACAACGTCTTCACAGATGTGCCTGACTGCAACATCCAGTAGTTGAGTGGAATTCCAATGAGGCCCTGGAACAAAGGCGTCAAGGCAATTACAAGTCCACTGAATGCCTCGTCGGCCCCAAGCGTCTGGGCATATCGGTCAGCAGTGGAAACCACAATGTCTAAGTTCAAGACCAGCAAGAAGCCTGAATACATCGCGATGCAGAGCGACTGCCAAGGGGGCATCCGCTCCTCGGGCAGCTTAGCTTCTTGTAACGGCGCAGCACACGGCGCCATGTGAAGGTCAGCGGAGGCACCGAGTCCGAAGGTAGTGGCACGAGGTCTGGAATCTTCAAAGCTCGATGGCACCCCCGACGGGGTGGTCAGGGTCTCTGTACAAAGAAGCATGGCTGGCCAAGAGCACAGAAGACTCATTGGTTCTTGACAGGGAATTGGGGAATGAGAGCACCTTATGTGATCCCACACAATGGTCTTGTAAAGGGTACTATAGGGGGTTATATGGTGCCTCAGTCCCTAATTTCCTACAAAGATCAGAAGGCGCAAGCTTTCAGCGACCCGAGCCTCAAAGTGCCGCCAATATTTTCATCACTGCCTCCATGTTTACTGAGACCCTGCACACCAAACTCCAAACCTTAAAGCCCCAAAAGCCGAAGATCCCCAAAACTCTACACCCTAAACCGCAAGCCTTACATCCCCTAGCCCCATTTAAACCCTGGGTCCATTGTGTAACTCTAGACTCCAAACTCCGAAAAAAACACCTTCAACCTTCAACCTTCAAGCGTTAAGCCGTTTAACCTGTTTAACTTGTTAACCCGTTTTAAGCTGTCTAACGTTTTCACCTTGTAACCCTTTAACTTTTCACCTTGAACCTTTGACCTTTGAACCTTTAACCCTGATGGTGTATATTTGCATATTGCACCCTAATCCCTAAACCCTAAACCCTAAACCCTGAGGCACTGGAGCCTCCAGGCGCTAAGGAAGTCCAACAGAGCCTGTCGCAGCTCGACCTCGTCGCCTGGCCGGGAAGACCGGAAACTCCAAGACTAGGGTTTAGGGTTTAGGGTTTAGGGTTTAGGGTTTAGGGTTTAGGGTTTAGGGTTTAGGGTTTAGGGTTTAGGGTTTAGGGCTTAGGGTTTAGGGTTCAGGGTTCAGGGTTCAGGGTTTAGGGTTCAGGGTTTCATGGTTTGGGGTTTTACGGGGGTTTTGGGGGTCTCTGGCTTCACGGCTCTGGCTCTTTCCTTCTCATGCGTGTGGAGGCTTCAGGGGCTAGGGAGCCTGGGAGCCAAGGGCTGAGGCTTGGGAGGTCTCAGGGTGTTCGGATAGAGGGCTTACTGTAGGGTTTGAGGTTGAGGGTCTTGGGCTTAGGGTTTAGGGTTTAGGGTTTAGGGCTTAGGGCTCAGGGCTCAGGGCTCAGGGCTTAGGGCTTAGGGCTTATTGTTTAGAATTTAGGATTTAGGCAGCAGCACTTCTCCTGTGAGCTCGTCTGCGGGCAGGCTTTGCAGCCACTTCTCTTTGCCTTGAGGGCGAAAGGTTCGGGCCTTCGGGCTCAATACCTTCAACTATATTGCTTACTGCGAAGATTCAGTAGTGAAGATTCAGTAGTATATACATACAAAATCTGCTATAGGCAGAAAGCAATGTACGAATGTAGGATGATCTCTATATGTAGTAAACGCATTGGCCCTTATTAACTCAGTAACTAGCCTCTTCCTTAATGAAAGAGCAGTGGTCTTTAACACCCTAAACCTTAACAGTTAAGCCTGAAGCCCTAAACCCTGAAAAGCCTCAACCTCATAAATCCTTAAGCCCTACGCCCTTGCACCCTCAACCATTTAACATTTAGACTCTTGAGCCCGAAGCCCTTAGCCCTCAAGCCAAAAGCCTCCAGCCTTTTATGAGGGCTGGTGGCTGAGCCATGTTGCCACTTGGCTGGCGAGTATGGACAGATACCCAGGGAGACTGTGGTTGAGGATCTTGGGCTTAGGGCCCTTGAGGTTTGGGCGCTTAGGACGTGGGGTTTTGGGGTTGTAGGGTCTGGGGGTAAATGCTTAAGGCTCAGGGTTTAAGGCTTCGGGCTGTTGACGGCCAAAGCGCAGCCAGAACCCCAAGCTGAGCTGCCTGAAGTTCGCGCGCACCCGCCCTGCACCCCATAACACCCGGTCTAGGGGATTAAGGGGAGGGACTCAAGGCTTTTAAGTCCTAGATCCAAAGGGGGGGGTTGTCTCAACCCGGGCCCCTCTGCTTGAAAAAGGAACCCCCCTTGCAGAAAGAAGAGACCTTGACATTGAGGTCAGAACGCCTAAGCCCTAAACGCCCTAAACCCCCTGAAGTAGTTCTGCGCACTCCTGCTGTGTCAGCGGCTCATGGGCGTCATGGGCGGCTTTCCTCCTTTGGCACCCTGGCAGCAAGTGATTTTAATTTCAGGCTCTGAAGGCTTCGGGAGAGGGGCTTCAGGGCATCTCAACGGGGGGGGGGACGGCATTTATGCGGGAGCAACGCAGTAGGCAAAGTCCAGGCATTTGAGTAGGGTCTCAACCCTCAACCGCTAGACCCCTTAAGCCCCTAAAGCCCCTAAACCCCCAAACCCCTAAACCCCAAACCCCTAAACCCCTAAACCCCTTAAGCCCCAAAACCCCCAAAACCCCCAAAACCCCAAAACCCCTAAACCCCTAAACCCCACAACCCCAAAACACCAAAACCCCTAAGCCCCTAAACCCCTAAACTCCTAGACTCCTAAACCCCTAAGCCCCGAAACCCCTAAACCCCCTAAACCCCTAAGCCCCTTAAGCCCCTAAGCCGCTAAACCCCTAAGCCCCTAAACCCCTAACCCCTAAACCCCTGAACCCCTAAGCCCCTAAGCCCCAAACCCCTAAGCCCCTACCCCGAAGCCCCTAAGCCCCCAAGCCCCCTAAGCCCCTAATTAACTCCTAAAGCCAAAGCGAAAGCCAGGGCTGGACCATGCCTTGGATGCGAAGCCTTGTCTGGCTGGTCTCTTCGTAGGGACTGAGGGAATGAGGGTACCACATAAGCCCTACAACTCTCAGCCGTTGAATGGTATATATAGGGCCCTTAGTTCTAAGAACCCAGGGGAAGGAGGTACCTATGTACTCCCGTAAAGGGTGTACATAGGGCCCTGGTGCCCTTCCCTACTAAGAAACAGGGGGCCTTGAGTCGCATGGCTTCCGCTTTGAGGCGGAGGAGGGATTTAGGGATGTAGGCTTTAGGGACATAGGGTTTAGGGCTTAGGGATCTAGAGTGTAAGGGTTTAGGGGTTTGGGGTTTAGGGGTTTTAGGGTTGAGGGCTCAGGGGATTAAACAAGTTGTGCAGAATCGAGCGAATGCAAGATTTACGAGGTTGGAATGACAAGACCACCTTAGGGATGATGGAAGCCAGAGGACGGAGTGTCCTGAAGAACATAGACCCCCACATAGTATGATCCTCTGATATGACAAGGACCCCGAGAAGGTACACCTTCTACCGCAAACCCCTCCTGTTTCGGGAGCTAAAGGAGGGAAGGATAGGTAAGAAGAATCGGTGGATGGGATGGACCCAGAACGGGCGCAGGCTTCGCTAGCATTAAGTCTTGACAGCTTATCGGAGAGAAGGTCCAGCTCAACCCTGAAGAGCCAGGCCGTAAGGGTTCCAACCCTAGAAAACCCTCTGAAACCCTAAACCCTAAACCCTAAACTCTGGCAATCGACTGAGCTTCAGACCACCCGAAGCCCCTTTGGACCTGAAGCAGATTTTCAATCATTGTGGGTTGGGTTCCTGCAGTCTTCAGGCGATCCCCAACACGCAAAACCGTAGACCTGCTGCTGAAGATGTCTACCATTCCCATCGTGGGGCCTCTTCATAGATAGCAGGAAATTAAGGGGCTATGGTAAAAGAGACTTCTAGTTATAACCAACATCTAATAATGTTGGTACATCTAATAATATTGATAGTTTTTCGCATTATGCAGCTTAATATTCTTCTACAATACTGTAAAATTGCCAGAACAAAAGCCAATAACGAAACCTGCAGTCACACAAGCCCTTAATAGCCTACTTAGAAGAGTATGATAGTACAACGTTGTAATATTGAACATATGAAATAGGGACATGGTGCTATAATGTATTGACAGAACATCATACCATAACCAACTAGCATTCTAACATGAAACAGCTATAACGATAAAACTTGTCATAATACGATAGTATAATGTTGTAGTATGAACATATTTTTCGTGATGAACATGTTTTTCAATACAACCGTGTGATAGTATAACCGTATAAGAATATAACAATATCGAGAAAGCAAAATATATGAATAAAATACAGTAACATCGTCATATGGCAATATAATCATATAATACTAGATACATATAACAAGTGAAACTAAACACACATAGGAGAGTAATATCCTAACATAGTAATACACGAATATACTAACATGCTCGACATACACTAATATAGTGCCACGAATGACATAATGCGGAGAGAATCCCAAAAATCTAATGATGGAATAATGCAACCATCTGGTAGCCCAATAGTATGGACATTGTAGTATTTTCATGATGTATTAACAAGAATATGATAATGCTGCCAGAAATATGGTAATTGAAAGCAATAACGGAAAATGAGCTAATCATAGAAGAATGTGACAATATAACAACCAACAAATACACTACTTGTATTAGAATCATATACTACATCCCCAACCACCCATTCGGCCGGGTGGCTGTAATGGTGGAGGCGGTGGTGGTAGTGGTGGAGCCTTGTGTTCACATACAGGACGTGAGCGATTCTGTTTCCGGTTGAGGGTTTAGCGCTTAGGGATGCGAGGACTTGTTTCGTGAGTGCACTTCCGTAGGCATGAGCAAGAGCGAAGCCAACCAAAAACAACTGCTTATCACAGATGTCCAACCCCAAGCTCATCGACGAACCAACTTCGACGTGTCGCTGAGCATCATGCACTACCACGTGGATGGCCTTTTACCTGGCTCCACTAGCCCTGAGCCCTAAAACCGAAAACCAAACCTATACTCTAAATTTTCTATTGTTACTGCCCCTTCAGCTCCTAAACCCTAAACCCTAAGATTTGACCAATAGGAAGTCTCCTTAGGTTTCCTGCCGGTATCTTGCTTTGGGCCTGGCACTTCTCAGCGACCTGGGCATGGTGGCTTAGGGTTTAGGGTTTAGGGTTTAGGGTTTTGGGTTTAGGGTTTTGGGTTTTGGGTTTTGGGTTGAGTGCTCAGGGGTTTGGGGTGTCGGGCGCATTTAGGGTGTGGGGGCATGTGGGTGTTGCGGAGATGGTCCGCTTCCCGCACACGAAGGGGTGGCGGAAGGATCTTGAGATTCTTAAACCCCTTAACGGTGGTTCTAGTTCGGGTCCAAAGTGGGGGGGGGGGGGGTCTGTTTATCAAGAGGCCTCCAGTAAACGTACCCCAGTTTGGAACAACTCCAAAAGGCCGGCTAAGAATGGAGGGGAAGGTTTCGGAGGCTAAGAATGGAGGGGAAGGTTTCCGGGTTGTTTCACTTCAGTCGGTTCATCGAAGTTGGGACGAACTTGTGATGCCCACCTTGCAACGCACAAGTCCCTAAGCACAAAAGCCCCGAAATCTATGCTCTAAGCTCACGCACCCTAAGCCCCAGAACCTAGACTCACCCTGGAGCCTGAAGGCAAAGAGACATCCGCCACTGCAATGCACACTTGTGAGCAGTAAGGACGGCACTATCTTGCGAGCCTGGCCAGGTCTCTGCACTGGAGGGAGACTTGGAGACCAAGCTTCACAGCTTAGAAGGGATGCTTTAAGGAGCAGGGTTTAGTGTTTAGAGTTTGGAGTTTACGGTACAGGGGGCATCTAAACTACATAAACGTTTGGAGGTACAGCTCTAGGGCCCCCTGGAACTGCAACAGTAAGCCGCTCAGCATCCGCTAGACGCTTGCCTTTCGGCAAGACGGCGGGGCCTCTGCAGCAAAAATCCTAAATCCTATTTGCAAGTTCATGGTTATCTAGAAGTAGGGTTGTGTAAGTACCCTAAATATGGCTACCAGACTTATAACCCTTCTTCTAAGTACCCCAAATATGGCTACCAGACTTAGAACCCTACTTCTAACGAGCCATGAACCTGCAAGTACAGATGGTGCTGATTCTCGAGAAGTTTGGGGACGGGAGTTGGAAAAACTGATGGCGTCAAGACCCCCGAAAAGATCAGATAAGATTTTCGGGTTTAGGGCTTAGGCTTGAGGGCTTTCGCTGAAACAAAACACCCTAAACCCTAAACCCTAAACCCTAAACCCTAAATTATAAACCCTAAACCCTAAACCCTAAACCCCAAACCCTAAACCCTAAACCCTAAAACCCAGACAGCCCGAAATCCCCGAAATGCTAGAGCACGAGCGTGGCAGCCAGCCTCGGGCGTGACGACGATGACGCTGTAGCCGCGGTCCTGGCACAGCCGAGGGCTTCTAGAGGCTTTAGGGTTTTGGGGTTTGGGGTTAAGGGTTTAGGGTTTAGGGTTTAGGGTTTGGGGTTTGGGGTTTAGGGTTTAGGGTTTAGGGTTTAGGGTTCGGGTGTTGGTGTTTAGGGTCTAGGGCTTGGGATGCTGTTTCGGGTTTAGGGCTTAGGGCTTTGGCGAGTATTTAGGATTTAGGGTGTTACGACTGTTGGGCTGTAGGGGCTTTTGGGCTTTGGGGACCTATGGTTCAGGGTCGCGCTTGCTGTGTATTCACTACGGGTCAGGGCACAACGTCATTTAGGTCAACTTCCAGCTGCGAGCCACGTCTCGGAAGCTGGTTCCATCTGGGATCTAGAGCTGAATCACTTGGGGGGGATTTGCGACCATAGGGACCCCCAAGTTAGATCCCCAAAATAGTAGGATCCCCCTTAAAATAAGGGCCCCCTTAAGATACCCCTAATTTCGGAAGCCCTCGTTTGGGGTTGAGACTTCAGGATTCCAAGGCAGTCTGCACCCTGAAGCCCTAAGCCCCTCCACTGGATCGGAGGGCTTTTTGCGAACATGTGAACCACTCTGCGGCTCAGAAAGGGCAGATTTGCTTCTAAGCCCTTAAGCCCTAAACCCTAAACCCTAACCCTAAACCCTAAACCCTAAACCCTGAACCCTGAACCCGACACCATAGAACCCCCCTTCATTGCAGGGATCCTGGTGAATCTCAATCTCTCCACCGATCCGACGTTCCATCCACTGGTCTAAGGGCACCTCGGAACACTCTCTTGCTGCCAGCGGTCTAGGGCTTAGGGTTCTTATAGGTCCTATGCGGTTTAGGGCTTAGGGTTTATATGGGTCCTAACGGGCTTAGGGCTTCGGGGTTTGGGGCTTAGGGCTTGGGGCTTGGCGCTTGGGGTTTAGGGGTTTAGGGCTTAGCGTTTA